CGTCCGGAGCCTGTGCTCCGCAACGGGAGAGGCCACAGCAGTGAGAGGCCTGCATACAGCAAAAAAAAAAACAAACAAAAAAAACTGGGACCTCGGAGAGGAAAGGTGGGAAGACACATGAAGCCATCTGACCTCAGACAGCAAGTCTGTGATGGGCAGCTGGATGCCTCGCCCAGCAAGGGCAGGAGGTTTGGGGAGCCTGGGGCGTGGAAGATGGTCCCTCCTCCTCTTAGCTGTGGCACTTGGGGAGGATGGTCCCCCCTTTGCATGCTAGCTTCCTCCTGGGAAAAGTAGGAAAAAGCACAGCCCCAAACTCAAAAGACAGTGGGAAGGTCCATTGGCAATTGTGTTCAGAGACTGTTGGCTCTGCACTGACGCCCTTCATTTTACAGATGGGGAGGTGTGATGCTGAGACTGGGAGGGACTTACTCAGCCAGTAAGTGAGGGCTGTGCTGGGCCTTAAACCCAGCTCCCCTCGCTCACCATGTCACAGAGATGTGCCTTTGCTTTCAAGCTGACAAAATCCACTGTGGGTTATCTGCTGTGGGCCAGGTGTGGGACTGAGAAGTGGGGGATGAGAGAGAGGCAGGCAGAGAGACAGACACACACACAGAAAGTAGCATGAGAGACAAGAAAAGAGAGTAAATTAGACAAGGAGACACAGGGACAAGGTGACAGAGACCAAAAAAACTTACATAGAGAGACAGGGACAGACAGAGACAGAGACAGAAATCTCAGGACAAGGACTTACAGCAGAGTCAGATAGTAACAAATAGAGATATTGACACAGAGACATAGAAAGACTGAGACAGAGAGAAAGTTAGAGAGAGAGGGACAGAGACAGAGGCAGAAACAAAAGAGGCAAAGACAAAAAGCGACCCTGACTGAGACACAAATATAGAGAAGGAGGGAGAGAGAGACATAAATAGAGATATGTAGAGAGGAGAAACAGAGAGACAGAGGGGCCCAGGGCAGCCTTCCTGTGGATAACTCACTGGCAATTTATCAAGGACCCCTGGCAGACCTCCAAGTCCACCCCCCTCCAGCTCAAGCCCCAGCCCCCTGGGGCCACACGGGTTTCCTGAATCGCAATCCTGCTGGATGGGTATGTGTACTGCATGCCCGCCCATGTATGTGCAAGTTTAGCATCCAATTTACAGGAGATGCACCAAGGAAGGAATATGATGTGACTCTGACTTCTGGAGAAATCAGAGTGAACACTGGCACATCTCATCACCCCATCTGATATGTGCTTTATAACTAACAGTCAGAGGAACCAGTCATCTATGGTATGTCCCCTCCAGCATAATCAAAGTAGGTTCTTGCTAGAAATATTTGGGGAAGGAGACAGCATGAAGCAGAAAAAGAAAATCAAACTTACAGTTGATCCTAGTGTCTTCTCCTATGAGGTTCTGGAAGACTCACCACTCCCTTATGAGGTTTGTTGTGTGGGGATAGACACCCTCTCTCAGGCAAAAAGAGGAATATAACTGGCTCATGTCACAGGGGTACACGTTTGTATGGCCCTCAGGCTCAGATGGACTGAAGTGCTCAAATGACGTTTTTAGGACCTGGGTCTCTCCTGGTCTCTTTGTTCTGCTTTCTTGTGCATTCTTCTGTTCTCAGGCAGCGTCTTAGGTTGGGTTGGCCTAGGAGCAGACCCCAAAACAAGGATTTGAATGCCAGTTATTTATTTTGGAAGTGATCTCAGCAAACACTGGGAGGGGAGTGGCAGGAGGGAGACAGGAAAAGGAAGGCAACCCATGAAGGAAGCATTGTCAGGAGCAAGTTATCATGGGGACAGTTGGGGCCCAGTCTCACTGGGGGCCTCTAGGAGATGGTGAGGGATGTGCACCCCAGAGTTATCTCATTTGAGGAGCGAGAGATGGGGCATTTGTCCACTCGCCTCCATTTTTCATTGTTTCTGGGCTGCTCCGCAGGGTGTTAATTCCCTGGCACACCAGAAGAGACTTCAGAAGGAGTGCCACCTGGGACTCCCCTGGTGGTCCAGTGGTTAAGACTCCACGCTCCCAATGCAGGGGGCTCGGGTTCGATCCCTGGTCAGGGAACTAAATCCTACATGCCGCAATTAAGACCTGGTGCAGCCAAATAAATAAATATTAAAAAAAAAAAAAAAAAAAGAGTGCCACCCTGCCAACACCTTGATCTTGGACTTCTGGCTTCTAGAAGCACAAGATAATACATCTGTTCTCAGCCACCCAGTTTATGATACTTTGTTACAGCAGCCCTAGGAAACTAATACACCCTATTTATCAACTGCCCATCTTTGGAAAACTCTTTCTTCTTGTCCCCTACTATCATGCACCTGTTCCTTTACCCTAAGGATCTACATTTTATCTTTCTTTAAAAAGAAAATTTTGTGAGAGTCATAAACGAAAAACCCATATCTCTTGCCACGAAGGGATGGGACCCACAAGAAACAAAGACACAAAAAACAAAACGATGTTTTAAAATGCCAACGGGGCCAAGGACCTGTCTCTTAGGGAAATTAGCAATTGCCAGAAAGACATTAAAGACTGTAGCACCAAACAAGTCTTTCTTGAAGTAAGCCCCAGGGGGAGACATTCATGGTCACCTCCCCTTTTGTCCTTCACATCCACTCACTCATTCAGGGATATAGTTCCCTCTTAGTCTCTCTGTCCCATTCCCCAGTCCCTCCCCTGACGCTACAGCTGCCTCCTTGGCTTCTCCACCTCTTTCTCTCTTTCTCCAACCCACCCTCCACGCAACAACCAGAGGACTCTTTCAGAAACATAAATCTCTTTTATTTCAGGAGGAATAAGTGAATTTATTCCCATCGTAAAAGATGCAAACAGTGCAGAAATATATAGAGCGGAAATGGGAAACAAAATCCAGTCATGTCCTGCCTCTGCTCTAAACTTTCTGTGGCTCCTCGTCATTCTCTGTGTAAACCCCAAGGCCATCGACATTCAAGGTTTGGGTCTGGTCCTGCCCCTCCTTCCCCCATCTCTCTCCTATCCTTGAGTAAGACCCTCTTTTTAGCCACTCTGAATGGCTTGTCATATCCAACCATTCAGCTCTCTCTCTCTCTCTCTCTCTCTCTCTCTCACTCACCTCAGGACCTTTGCACATGCCATTTGCATCCCCAACATGCTGTTCTCTGCCCCCTTACACCAACTTCATCCTTACCCTCCAGTCTCAGTGCGGTGACACCTCATGTTTTTTTGGCCTCACCCAGATGCAGACCCTAGGACAAGGATTCCATTGTGCCTTCACTTCTACAGCTGCCATAACCAGGGGATTCAAAACAACAGAAACTTATTCCCTCACAGTTCTGGAGGCTGGAAGTCCAAATTCAAAGTATCAGCCCAGTTGATTCCTTCTTGCAGGTTCAGAGGGAAAATCTGTTCCGTGCCTCACTCCCAGCTCCTGGTGGTTGCTGGCCACCCTTGGCATCCCTTGGCTAGTAGACACATCCCTCCAATCTCTGCCTCTGTTGTCACATGGCCTTCTGCCTGTTTCACTCCTGTGTCTCTTCTCTATCATTGGCCAAGGCCTGCTCTGGGAGGTATTAGACCAACTGAGAAAACCTAAAGAATAAGTAGCCAGCCTGGCAAACTATGGTTGAGGAGAGAGAATTCTGTTCCTGGCAGAAGGAACAGCATTTGCAAAGTTCTAGAGGTCAGCAAATCATGATGCATTTAGAACATTGAAAAGCACTGAGGGGACTTCCCTGGTGGCACAGTGGTTAGGAATCTGCCTGCCAATGAAGGGGACATGGGTTCAAGCCCTGGTCTGGGAAGATCCCACATGCTGAGGAGCAACAAAGCCCATGCGCCACAATTACTGAAGCCCATGCGCCTAGAGCCCGTGCTCTGCAACAAGAGAAGCCACTGCAATGAGAAGCCGATGCACCGCAACGAAGAGTAGCCTCCGCTCACTGCAACTAGAGAAAGCCCGTGTGCAGCAACGAAGACCCAACGCAGCCAAAAATAAATAAATAAATAAACAAATAATTTTTAAAAAAGAAAAAAAAGCATTGAGGCTTTGGAGATTGACAGGGGCTTGACCATGGGAGAGTTTGTAGGACACAGAAATGAACATGGACTTTATCTGGAGGGCAATGGGGAGCCATGGGAGAGTTTAGAGCATGGGAGAGACCAGAGGATTGAGATTTTAGAAATATCCCTGGCTGGCATGTGGTGATGAACTGAAAGAGTTGTGAACTGGAGGCAGGTCTGTTATGGGAGGATGAAAAAATTCAGACCCTATGCTGAATGCCAATCAGGCATTCTCTCATTTAATTCTCATACCACCAGGCCTACAAGACAGGTTTCTCATCATTACACCCATTTTACAGATCTGGAAGCTGGGGCCTAGAGAGCTTAAGTGACTTATCTGGCATCACACAGCTTGTCAATGACAAAGCAAGGAATCAGGGCTTGAGTAGGCTGCCCAGCCAGGTGGCAGACTCACGGTGGGAGAGTTGGGTATGAGGAGTTGGGGGGTCATGAGGCTGATGGCCAGGGCTCTGGCTGAGGGATGAGGGACAGCTGGACACCCGGCTAGAAAGGAAGCTCTGACCTGAGAGAATAAAGCCAGTGTAGGTAGTCTACCAGGTGCTGAGGACTTGGACCACTCACTCCTGCCAGCCCAGCCCTGACCTTGGCACTTCTCCCTCCCCCCATATCAAGTCATTTAGACTCTGAGGACATATGAACTGAGAAACTGAAGGGTGAGAAAGAGCCGATCACAGGGAGAAAGGGCATTGCAGGCTGAGGGAACAGCCTGTGCAAAGGCTCTGAGGCAGGACTGGGCCTGGTGTGTTGGAGGCACAGCAAGGAGACCCAAGTGTCTGGAGCAGAGTGAGTGAGGGGAAGAGAGGGAGGATATCTGGGATTTGGGCTCTAAGACCTCATGGGCAGAGGGTGCCCTGAACAAGTCTGAGTCCCCTGGAAATCTCAAAAGGGGGGGAAAATTAGCCCCTTCCTCAGTGGGTCCCTAGGAGGCTTGGGGAGATGATGTTGGCAGAATGTAAGTGTGAGGGCCGGATCCAAGCCATGGGGTGGTGGTGGGGCAGCCGCCAGCCCACTTTGTGGCACCTCTGGGCCTTACGAGGTCCAGGAGCTGGGGATGCTCTGAGCCTTCCAGAAGTTTTTGCGAAGGTTGCCCAGCCCCCCAGGTCAGAGCCCCAGGAATTCTGTCTTGGTGGGGAGTGTGGGTGAGGGACCAGGATGTAACAGGATGATGTCACAGAGGCCGGGGGCGCCTAGAACTCTGGGGGCTCCTGGTCTCAGCGTCATCTGCTAGGAAGGCTGCCGGGGTAGGCCAGCTCCTCCTGGGACCAGCCTTCAAAGACACAATGCAGGCTGGGCTGCCACCAGGAGCTGTTTCTGTCTAGGGCCACGCAGGTCCCAGCTGCTCTGCCTAACCGCCTATGAGCCACTCGTTCAAGCTCCATTCACACCCCAGCCATGGGCCCCCTGGGAGGTCCTGGAGATGCCTGGAGGCCTCCTGTCCGTGGTCCCCAGCGGGACCTAGCTCCACACCACAGCCAGAGAAGGAGGGGCTGGCCATGGGGCAGCCCTGGCCAGTCCTGGCCCTGGGGGCAGTCAGGGTCTCACTGATCCTTCTGGGGCTGCTGGTGCCCACACAGGCGGTGGTGCGAGCCGTGCTGGATGGTAACTCGAGCACCGTGGAGTTTGCGGACCTGCCGGCCCTGTTCGGGGTGCCCCTAGCCCCCGAAGGTGTGCGGGGCTACCTGACGGAGGCCAGACCGGCCAACACGTGCCATCCCATCGAGGGCCCGCGGCCGGGCAACGGCTCCCTGGGTGCCATCGTGCTGATCCGCCGGTACGATTGCACGTTTGACCTCAAGGTGCTGCACGCCCAGCGGGCCGGCTTCCAGGCGGCCGTTGTGTACAACGTGCGCTCTGACGACCTGGTGCTCATGGCCTATGTCTACGAGGACCTGCGGTGCCAGATCACCATCCCCTCGGTGTTCATGGGCGAGGCCACCTCCCAGGACCTGCGGGTCATCGTGTGCTGCGATAAATTGGTCCACATCCTCCTGCTGCCCGACTACCCGGCCTGCCCGGACCTGGACTGCCACCCCATGCTGGCCATCTCCTGGGTGCTGGGCTGCACCCTGGCCCTGCTCGTGACCGCCTTCTTCGTTCTGTGGTATCTATGGAACTGGCTGCGGGCCTGGTGGGCCCGCGGGCCAGTGGTCAAGGCGTGGGCCAGCCAGAGGGCCCAGGTGAGCACTTTCACGAGGCTTCACGACCTGTGTGCCATCTGCCTGGATGAATACGAGGAAGGTGACCAGCTCAAGATCCTGCCCTGCTCCCATACCTACCACTGCAAGTGCATCAACCCCTGGTTCTCCCAGCCCACCCGGCGCTCCTGCCCTGTATGCAAGCAGTCGGTGGTCAGCACGGAGGACAGCTCTGACTCCACCGTCAGCAGCTATGGGTACAAGGAGGACCCCTCGCTGCCTGGTCACCGCCCCCCGATCTGGGCCATCCAGACCCGGCTGCGCTCCCGGAGGCTGGAGCTGCTGACCCGAGCCAGCGCCCCCCGCCGCTGGAGTGCCACCTCCGTGGGGGCAACTGAGACCAGCGAATCCTTGGAGGGGCCTCCAGAACCCCTCTGAGGACTGCTGCCCCTGGCTGGTGGAGATTGGGGCGGGAAGGGTAGAAGTGAGGAGTGTTCTAGTCTGGAGACTAGATAATAAAGTGGGTTTGAAAGCGGATTCTTGCCCTGGCTGCTGTGGGGCGGACTGGCCCCTCATGCCACGCGTGTGGCAAGCTGAGCCTAAGGCTGGCTCCTGGCATCTGTGGGCGAGTGAGGGTATATGGGGGCGGGGGGCGGTATTCTCAGGGCTGCTGTGTGCATCATGTCCTTGGTGGCCCTGCGACGGGGCCCCTGTGCCTCCGTTCCAATACTGGGCACAGGGGCGGCTGATTTCCCATATGCTTATTATTCATTTAAACCTTAAACAAAAGATAAACTTGTTACTTTGGAATAATTTTAGCTTTACAGAAAAGTTGCAAAGGTACTAGAGATAGTTTCCATGGACGCCTTGCCCGGCTTTTCCTGAGTGTTCATGTCTTACATCAGCATAGCACGTTTGATTCAACCGAGAGAGAGCACCTTGGGTCGGTTACGATGAACTGAACTATGGATTTAATTTGAATGTCCTCAGCATTTCAACTATTTATAGTGGAAAGTGTCAAACACACCCAAGTAGAAAGGATGGAATAATGACCCTCCCCACGTGTACCCATCACTTAGATTCAATGATTATCTACTGGCCACTCTGGTTTCCTCTATTCTTCCTCCTCTTTCGCTCTTTTGATGCAAATCCCAGATGCTTTTTCATCTGTAAATGTTTCAATTTGTGTCTCTAAAGCAGTAGTTCTCAGCTGGGGTGGGGATGTTGTCCTCCGGGGACACTGGGCAGTGTCTGGGGACATCTGTGGTCATCATGACTGGGGTTGGCTCCTGGCATCGAGGGCGTGGGACCAGGGAGGCTGCTCCCCACCCCACAGCGTCCAGGACGGCCTCACCTCAGAGAATGATCTGGCCTGCAGGTCCACGGTGCTGAGGGGAGAGACCCTGCTTTATAAGATAAGACCCCTTAAAAAACTCCGCAAACTCCAGTATCATGTCCAGAATAATGATTCCTAAGTAGCGTCAAGTACCCACCTAGGGAGCACAAGGAAATGTGCACGCTTACAATACACAATTTTTGTAGGCTCTTTGAATCAGGATCTAGATCGAGTCTACGGTTATCGCTGATGGTACCCTAAGTCTCTGTTAATCGAGAGCTTCTCTCGCCATCTTTCTCTCTTCAATTTTCCTTGCAATTTGTTTATGTGAGGCCACCAGGTCATTCACCCTGCACAGATGACCCGGATCTGGGTTTTGCTGAGTGGGTGTCCCTGTGGTGTCATTTCACAGATGCCTCCGTCCCCCATAGCTTCTGTTAATTTGGAGTTGAATTCAGAGACCAGCTCAGATGTGGTTTAATTTTATGGCGGACAGATAAGGTGTTTCTTCAGGTCCCAGTGCATGCTCTTCTCAGAAGGGTTGGGCCAGTGAAGGGGGTCTTCTAGGCAATGAATGAGGGGCAGATGCTAGGCTTGAGGCAAGCATGATCAGGAAGGTCCAGGAGGGAATATTGTATAGAATTCCTCAGAGGGCACAGTGTACGGGTGATAGTGGGATCTGGACCCGGTAGTCTGGTCTTGGTGGATTCATGAGGGAATGTCTGTGTTTAGTCAAATGTCTTCTTTTTCACACACGGGAGTGGTTTTCACTTGTGCTTTGCGGTCTGTACTTCACTACATAGCTGGGAACCTCCAAGGTAGTTCAGAGGAAGGGGGTCTCTTCTTGGATGGATGATGGCAGAGCGGGCTGCTGGCCACAGCTCTGGTGTGTATGGGGTGGGCAGGGGCACAGGGACGTGGGCAGAGGTCCTTGCACAGGATACTTGGGACATGGTAAAGACCTCCCACCCGCCTTTTGAGGGACTTTGCTCCTAGCCTGATGGCCCTAAGGCCGCAAAAGGAAGCTGCATTATTCAGAGAACACTGCCTTGGTCCCTGTGGATGGCCCAAAGCTGCCAAGAGCTCTGGGAGGCCAGAGCTGCCAAGCAGGGACAGGCCTCTCTGTCCGGCAGGCATGGGCTGGGATGAGGATGGAGAAGTGGAGACAGGGAGGAACGTGTGTAGCAGTCAAGCTTGCAGTTGGCCATGGGATCTGAGACCTGCCCAGAGCAGCTTAAGCACAGAGAGTTATTTGCTCATGAACTTGAGTAGTCAGTCCGGGGATAGCATGGAGGCTCCACGGTGTCCAGGGCCCGGGTTTCTTTTATCTTATTGTTCCACATCCTTAGCAAGTGACCTTCTCCTCGTGGGACAAGGCAGCTGCTTGAGCTCTTGCCATCACACCTGCCTGCCAGTCAATGAGGAGGAAGAGGTGAGGAAGGGCTCGCCCTCTCCCTTTAAGGACACTTCCCCAGAAATCCCATACACCACTTCTGCTCACACCCCATTGGCCAGAACTTAGCCATGTGGCCGCACTTGCCTAAAAGGATGCTGGAAAATGTAGTCTTTATTCTGAATGGCCAACGGTCCAGCAGAAAACCAGGGGTTCTACTACCATGAAAGAGAGAACAGATATTTGGGGTGGCCAGCATGCCTGCCACTGGTCCACAAGAGCTGTCCAATACATGTCTGTTGAATAAGTGAATGAATGAATGACTGAATGAATGAATCCCCACACCTCTAAGCCTGAGCATCCTTCAAGGTCACAGGCACCACAGGGGAGCAGGCACATCCCGGTTCACCAGAGAGATGACCTTTCTCACGACCATGCCAGCGGAGGGAATGAGCTCACCGTTACCAGGGATGAAACCCAGCTCTTACCGAGGCCCTACTGTGCTCCAGGCCCCAGGCCACATGGCTTCTTTCCACTATTAAACCTCTCTGAGCCTCGGTTTTCCCATCTGTAATATGGGGGCAGTAACAGCACCTGCCCTGCAGGGTTCCCCAAGCATGCACAGTGCCTGACACTGTCGGTATTTGTTGATTGACTAAGTGACCTGCCCACAGCCCAGCTATAATATTGGGTGATCAGTGCTGTGATGGGGGAATCATAGGCACTGTGTTAACCCAAAGGGAGGTGCCTGACCCAGCCCAGAGAATCTGGGAGGCTTGCTGCAGGCAGTGTCTTCTAGACTGAGAGCAGAAAGAGCAGGAGTCAGCTCCTTGAAAAGGAAAAGTGAACCTGGCAGCTGGAACAGCATGGGCAAAGACCCCAGGCAGCCTAGTCTGGCATCCAGTGGGTGCTTAATAAGTGTACACAGAGGTCCCTGCCCACAGTACCCTCTGAGAAGAGGCCTCAGCATCATCCCAGACTCCTCAGTCCCCCCACAGCCAGGTCTGGCCCCTTCTCCAGCCATCTCCGGGAAAGCCGGGCGCTGCTAAGGACGGCCAGCTTAGTGAGGCCAGCCTGTGCCAGCCCCATCAGCCCCGCCTTGACTGCTGCTTTAGGTAAGCACCAGCAGAGGCTGCCTCTTGTCCATCCAGGGCATGCCCTGGCTGTGTTTGTCCAAGGGGGAGTATGGCCAAATGGGGAAACTGAGGCTCAGAGGACAGGGGACCAACCTCAGTGATGGGGGTGGCCTCAAGGATAACAGTAGCCACCAGCACGACTACGGAGCACACGCGGCATGGCGGTGCTGCACCATGCTCTTTCCGGCACTGACTCCTTGCATCCGGCGCCAGGTTCCTATGCATATACCCATTTTCCAGAGGAAGAAACTGACTCCGTGAAAGAGGATGTAGCCTTCGCAGGGCCACACTCCTGCACCCGAGACAGTCTCCTCCACTTAAATGGCTCTAACTTTGTTTTTTAAATATGTTTTTAAATTTTATTTTATTTTATTTTTGGTTGCGTTGGGTCTTCGTTGCTGCACACGGGCTTTCTCTAGTTGCAGCGAGCAGGGGCTACTCCTAGTTGCAGTGCATGGGCTTCTCATTGCAGTGGCTTCTCTTTTTTTTTTTTTTTTTTTTTTTTTCGCTGATCGCTCACTGCCCTGGCCTCTCCCGTGGCGGAGCACAGGCTCCGGACGCGCAGGCTCAGCGGCCATGGCTCACGGGCCCAGCCGCTCCGCGGCACGTGAGATCCTCCCGGACCGGGGCACGAACCCGTGTCCCCTGCATCGGCAGGCGGACCCTCAACTACTGCGCCACCAGGGAAGCCCGCAGTGGCTTCTCTTGTTGCGGAACATGGGCTCTAGGCGCAGGGGCTTCGGTAGTTGTGGCTCGCGGGCTCTAAAGCACAGGCTCACTAGTTGTGGCTCATGGGCTCAGTTGCTCCACAGCATGTGGGATCTTCCTGGACCAGGGCTCAAACCCGTGTCCCCTGCATTGGCAGGCAGATTCCTAACCACTGCACCACCAGGGAAGCCCTATATATTAATTTTCATTGAAATATAGTTGCTTTACAATGTTGTGTTAGTTTCTTGCTGTACAGCAAAATGACTCAGTCATGCGTATACATATATCCACTCTTTTTCAGGTTTCCTTCCCATTTAGGTCACCACAGAGCACTGAGTAGAGTTCCCTGTGTTATACAGTAGGTCCTTATTAGTTATCTATTTTATTTATTTATTTTTAAGATTTTTCTTTGATGTGGACCATTTTTAAAGTCTTTATTGAATTTGTTACAATATTGCTTCTGTTTTATGTTTTGGCTTTTTGGCCACAAGGCATGTAGGATCTTAGCTCCCTGACCAGGGATCAAATCTGTACCCCCAGCTTTGGAAGGCAAAGTCTTAACCACTGGACCGCCAGGGAAGTCCCAGTTATCTATTTTATACATAGTGGTGTATATATGTCAATCCTAATCTCCCAATTCATCACCCCCTTCCCCCCCTTGGTAACCATAAGTTTGTTCTCTACATCTGTGACCCTACTCTGCTTTGCAAATAAGTTCATCTCTACCATTTCTGGATTCCACATATAAGCGATATTATACGATATTTGTTTTTCCCTTTCTGACTTGCTTCACTCTGTATGACAGTGTCTAGGTCCATTCACGTCTCTTCAAATGGCTCTATTTTGTTCCTTTTTAAATGGCTCT